GGGAGCAGAGAGCAATAATATCAGTGGAGTGCCTCGGGCTGCAGGGGAAAATTTTGATACGAAAGTAATCGAGCATTTTGGAGGTAATTCGTCCCTCCCCCCGGCGTCACCATCACCTCTCCTACCGGTCGGAGCCACTCGAACTCGTTACATTAATGGCACGAACAAGTAAGAAACCAAAGCAGGGCGGGCCGTGGGCCACACACTCACCGCGTGGCGTCGCGGTCGTCGATGTTGTTGCACGCGTCCTCGAAGTCGGAGAGGACGGCCTGGAGCGGGCAGGAGGACAGCTTGGCGTGCAGCCACTCGTAGTTGAAGAGGACGTGCTCGTAGAGGTCCTTGAACCGGCGCGCGCGGACCATGTGGTACGGCATCTCGCCAAACTGTGTGAGCAAATGATAAAAGTTTGCGCCCCCGGAAGGAGAGGGGACAGAGAGAGAGGGGGAGGGGCTGAAATCTACTCTCTGCATCCACCCCTCCCTCTCCTCCTAACCACTCTCGCCCCTTGACTGACACCTCTACCACCGCGTCCCGTGCCCCGCCCCGCCTCCTCGACCGCCACACCTTCCCTCAACTCACACCGGCTGTCTACAAAAGTGATGGCGGTCACCGTGCCAGGCCAGGCAGGATGGACACTGCAAACGTGCAAAGTCAAAAACTTTGGCCAAATTAAGGGGAGGCGTTTCAACTACTCCAGTTCTAGTATCTCAACCAAAATCATCCCAAGCGATAATTTTAGATTCATTCATTATGCCCGCATAAGAGTCCTAACCGGGGGCCGGGTCGACGAGTGGAGGGTCCTGCATGTTTCGCTTGATGTCTAGGAAGGGTATAAACGGAAATTACAGTGTATACCGACCGTTCAGTACCCGATCGTTTATTCAAATGTTCGAAGATTCGAAAATCTGTCAAGACTATCCATCTTGCGTGTAAGTATTTTTTAAACATATTATGTCCGAGGTGAAGGTGCGCGAACAGTCGAGAACCTCGGTGTTCACCGCTCCTTTCCCGCCCAAACTCATTTTCCGCGCTACGGACTTGCCTTTCGTAAGTTGTACCGCGACACCTTGCCGTCCTTGGTGTAGAACACGAGCGGCTGCACGGGCACCTTACGGTCCGCCGACCCCTCCTTGTCCGTCAGGTTGAACCTAAAAGGCGCCGAGAGGCGGATAAGACAGCAGCTTCCTGTTGACCGCACGACCCCATCCGCCTGTCGGCCGTCCCCGGCCGGGCCGGGCCGCGCGCCAAAACTTTTCCCAAGGTAGCTCACCTGTGCCTCTGGATCTCGGTGTACTTGAAGGGCTTAGGGTTCCCGCCGCCCCAGATGCCGAGGTAGTAGTCGGCGATGGACGAGTGGAAGTACATGGCCATGTTCATGTTCTTGAAGTACCGCTCCTTGGCCGTGTCCCGGAACTGCCTTCAAGCCAACGAAAAGAGGGGGAGGGGTGGGTGAGCTTGTCCTGACGGGATCGAACATGACCCTGGCCTCATCACAGCGACGCTCGCCCCGGGCGATGACCGACCTGTGGTACCAGTTCATGACGCTGACGCCGTCCGCCTCGCGCTCGCTCAGGTAGTTGGGCAGGTCGTTCCGGATGCGGGTCCAGAGCAGCGGCGGGATGCGGCGCACGGGCGGCATGTGGTACTGGTACACGTCGTCCAGCACGCGGTCGTCCAGCGAGATGAGGTCCTCCAGCTCCGACTCGGACAGGCCGCTCTTGGCCGCCGTGATGTAGGCGAGCGCGTGGAACACGAGGATGCGGCCGTGCTGCTTCTCGATCCGCTCGAACAGCATCATGATGGAGTCCATGACGGTGGCGGCCAGGTGCGTGTCCTGGGGCTTGGTGTACGAGCGCCAGCGGCAGATCTCGGCGAAGACGAGCTTCACGAAGATGGGCAGCGAGCACGAGCTGATGGCGTTGGACACGAGCCGCCACTGGTAGTTGGTGAGGTCGCGGCACGCCGTGCGCATCCACATCCTGGAGTCACGGAAAGACATGTTAGCAAGTGGCGAGTATCGAGCTGGGTATGTGGGCACTTAGATTGCTTACTTGATGACCTGCATGGCCAGGTCCTCGCCGAGGGCCGTCACCTCGATGAACTGCTCCTCCACGTCCAGCATCCTCCGCAGGAGGTGGTACTCGCGCGACACCTCCGGGTTGTCGGCTTCGGCAGCGCAGGACACGATCAGCTTGCAGTAGGGCGGCAGGCGCGTCGGCAGCCACGACACCTTGTTGGCGTCCTGCGCGCCCGTCAGCTGGTCCACCGAGTCCAGGAACACGATGAGGGGCTGCTCCTTGGTGGCGCAGGTCAGAAGGTGCTTGAAGTGGGCCGTCAGGGGCACCAGGTCGTCGGGAATGTCCTCGTAGGGGAGCATGAAGTTGTACGAGATTTGCTGGCAGATGGAGATGAGGGTGGGCGTGAGCGCGCTCGAGTCAGGCGTCGTGCCCAGGAAGCGGATGACGCAAACTGGCCTCGCCCCGGGAAACCATTCTGTGGAAGAGTTGCCCGCTGACATGGCAAGCAGGGACGTCTTCCCGCAACCGCCCTCGCCGTAGAGCACCAGGGGCTTCTCGTACTCGCCGGACACGTAGCGCTGGATGCGGTCCAGCTCCTGCTCGCGCCCGTAGAACACCTGCGCAAGGACAAAGAGGGTGTCAGCGAGGCGCGCAGAGTACAGCAAGAGCGACTCCAGGATCACTGACCTTGACTGCGTTGTTACAGGCATGCAAGTGCTGCAGGATCTCGGTCACGATCTGGCCCTGGGCGCTCGAGTCCTCCTTGCGCATGGCGCGGTCCACCAGCTTGGTGATGTTGCGGTAAAAGTGCGTGATGAAGTGCTGCAGGTACTCCTCGTGCGTCTCCGTGTCGAGCCCCTCGCGCCCGATCCACTCCACCGTGTAGCGCTGGTAGTTGCTGGCCTCGATCTTGGCCGTGAGCCGCTCGTCCCGCAGGTTGGCCATCAGCTTGGAGGCCTCCGTGTCCAATGAGCGATTCAGCACGTCCAAGAAAAGCGAGGCCTTCTTCAAGTTCTGCAGGTTGATGTTGTTGATGTACCGGACGTAGGCCAGGCAGCTGTTCTTGGTGTTCTTCACGCTCAGGATGCCGTTGATCACCTCGCGCTCCGTTACTGGGAAAAAGAAAACAAATGAGAACGGACTTCGCCGAAGTCGTCAGAGACGCCCAAACCTCTCCCGCCCGACTCACCCGACATGAAATAGTTGTGCATGGCGTCCCTGTCCATCTTCCCTGCGGCGAACAGGGTGGCGGACGCCTTGCGAAGGAGCTTCTGCATCTTGCCCAGTGTGTCCCACCACACGGCCTGGTCGTGCTGCTGCAGCTTGGGTATCCGCTGTGACCACCGGTGATTAAAACAGTTAAAGCTCCACGCCCTAAATTAAAACGTGCGTGACTATCTGTCATTGTGCGAAAAAGAAAAGACGCGAACTTTTGGGCAATAAGGAACGCTGGTCACCGCTGGCCTGGACACCGGACTGCCACCTTTAAGAAGAGGCTGGTCCGTGGGCAATTGCCGCGCCACTTTCCCCCTGACCAGTTTGCGCACCGCAACCCTTTCCCCCGCTCTCGCTAAGGAGGCCTTCGCCCCCCGGCCCGCGCCCGCGCCCGGGGCCTCCCACCTCGACGGAGTGGAAAATGAAGGAGAGCCCTGGGTTCGATCCGTGGGCCGGCGGTGCGGCTGGGGCGTGGCGTGGCGAGGCGTGGCTCCGCCGTGCCAGCCTGGCGGCCCCAGCAGCCCCAGAGCTGCTTCCTTATTCCTTCAAACCAGACGAGTTTGGAGCAGCAATTCATCTCCAGCCAGATGAAGGGATGGGGCCGGTACGGGGAGGGAGGGGGGGGGGTGCTCGATGGACAAAAGATCATTTCGAACCAGAAAGTATGGACGAGTCTCCCGCGGGGAGGGGAGCGGGCCGGAGGGGACAGGCCTCCTGCCACAGGCTGTGGCTCTCCGATGAAAAGCTCGCCGTGCTGGTTTCATTTTTAAAACAGGGAGGGTGAGGGGCGGAGAGGTTGCCGCTGAAGGGGGTTTCCAATGGGAGCGGAGCGGGCGCAGGGGAGAGTGCCGCCACGGCGGGGGCCGCGCGGCGACAGCCGATGTGTATGTGGTGATTAAAAATGCCGCATGCCTTGTTGTTGAAGTTGATGAGGATGGAGGAGATGGGCTGGAGCACCGACACGGGCGGCACGGCGTTGCTGTCCTTCCGGTACCACGTGTCCAGCAGCACCACGTCCGTCCCCGTGGAGGCCAGCTCGTCGCGCAGCATCTGCAGCTCGGACGACACGATGTACGTCGGGATGGGTCGGTAGCCGTACTTCTGGCCCAGGAACACCTGCACAGGCGGAAGCATTTACAGTGAAGGCGCCCTCTCTCAACGACAAAGCGCCCGCGAAGTGCAGGGTAGGCCAACCCGCCAAGCAGCTGTGTGAAGTCGGTGGCCCGCCTCCGCCGCCCCCTACACGCCCAAGTGCGAAGTGCGGGGGCTCGGCCAGGTAAACGTTTTGAGCCTAAAGACCCAACGAAAGCTCCCTCGGGTCAGTTTGGTAAACATGCAGCCTGCAAACAGCTTATTAGAGGTATCGGTATATGCTTCACCCTTTTCCATCACAGAGAGCTTTCCATTTTTACGAAGCAAAAAGAACACGAGCTGGAATCTAACTGAAAACTCACCGGCAGCAGGGTGCAACTGGCGGGGTTCTCGTCTGCTCTTTATTTCGTTTACCCTCGCCGGACTACCGCAGCCGTTTCCGCAATAAGTTCAGTTTCACCCCCCTTCTCCTTCCCCGCCCCCGCGCTCTGCAACTCCTCTGTCGAGGGGTTTCGTTCATCACCGCGGAGGTATTCACTTTGATCCGCGACTAGTGAAAAGACTTGGAGGGCTTATTGAGCTCTGCGGCGGGGTGGAGCGGGGCCGGGCCGGGCCGAAGCCGACCGGCCGGGTGCGCGGGCGGACAGTTCCCTGTCAAAGTGGAGGCGTACCCCACCGCCCCGTCGCCCCGTCGTCCCGCCACCCCGCGGGGCGACGCAATGTGAACGTGAATAACATGTTGCATGCGCAGCTACCCCTCCCACCTCCTCTGCCCCCCGCCGCCCTCGGCACTCGTAAGACCCTTAATTTGCCGCTCCATTTAGAGGGCGAGCCGGAAGGGGCCGTATCCCCGCAATCAATCAAAGTCGCTTCCGACGGGGCGGGGTGGG